ATATATTAAAATTATGGATAATTCTTATCATTAATAAATATTTAAATCATTTATCTAATCAAATAAATATTAAATTCGTTTTTATTTTTTGCTGATTTATATCTTTTATTCATTAAGGGTAAAATAGATATTAACCGCTTCAACTTTTAACGTGAGAGCTCCATTGCGAAAAATCACTTCGCAAATAATAGTATAGATAGTATAGATTTTTTATTATAGCAAATTTGCCCGCGGATGGATGTAGACAGAAAAAAATCGTATTTTAGACCTCTGCAAGGACATATTCGCCTTCGAATTTCTGGACCTTGCTCTTGAACAGCTCCAGATTCTTTGTCACCCTCGAATCTTTCATCTCTAGCTTCCCCAGCCTACCTGCCATAGCCGTCACCCTCTCTCTACATTCCTTCGTTTCTTTCTCCCTTTTCCTCAACTCCTCCCTCAGCTCTTCCATCTCCACCTTCCTCTCTCTCATGCCTCTATTGCACTCCTCTTTCTCCATCTTGGCCACGTCGTACCGCCCAAAGCACTCCACCGCCTCGGCCAGTTCTTTGACTGCTGTTTTGAGCCAAGACACGTCGATTTTGACTGAGTCCATGTCCTTCACCACCGCCTCGATCTCGGCCACGCGGGCCTTCGTCAGATCTCTCAATGCTGTCGATTTCAGCTCAATCACTGCTGTGGCTAGGGATTCCAGGTAAAATGACCTTGTTGAACTGGATTGCAACTTTGAGGAGGCAGCGATATCTCCTTGTTTGTCCAGGATTGTCTGGAGCGTGGCGGAGACACTCTGCCGCACCTTGTAACTGGCCACGGAGACGTAAGCCTCGGAGATCACCAACTGTGTTTCTTCCTTGCCTGTCTCGTAGCTGCTATCAATTCCGCGCATTTTGGTGATCTCCTGCATAGTGAAGCTTTCAGACTCGTCAGGCAGCTCCGGTGGCTCAAACTGCCTGTCTTGCTCGTATGTTTCGGCCGCAGTGATCTGGTATTTGTAGCGAACCGGCTGCACAACGGAAATAAATCGTCATTTTCATACACTTTACAAGTTTTCAGGAGGAAAAAACAGTACCGTGCTGCTCCCTGAGACTCCCCTGGAACGATGTCCAGTTGCAATCTCTGGAAAGAGGTAGGTGGAATGGTTGTCTTCCTCGTCGCTGGATGAGTAGAATGGTGGTGGTGGGCTGCTACGCGGTGTATCATCTTCTCCATCCGCCTCGTACATCCCCTCAAAATGGTCTTTCTCTTTGTAGTATCTCACAGGCTGCAACGAATTAAGAAGAGCAAAATCAGAGAATGGGTTTAATTAACAAGGGTATAAAAGAGTTTGGTGTAGCCACCATTGTTCTTGTGTGTGGGGGGCTTCGGGATGGATGAAAGGGACTTGAAGGAGCGCTCTTCCGTGAAGTCAAATGGCCCTCTGCCTCGTACCTTTCTCTACTGCGGTCTCTCCCTTGATCATGCTGCAATCACAAATGATTTTGGTTCTTAATGAGAAGAAGTAAAATGTAAAAGACACAAGATTTAGGACCAGTACCGTGTTGTAGGGAGCTGGAGAGCGGCTTCTGGAGGGGTGGAAGGGGCTCACGTTAGCCTCTGCCTCATACATCCTCTCATGGAACTCTCTGCTAAAGTCGGTAGACCTCCTACGGCGATCAGGCTGCAAATCACAGGCCAGACAACCCCAAACGTTTTACTTCAGTTGTTTCTCTCACATATAGGGAAGAATACAGAAACGAGTGAGTACCGTGTGAGTTCTGGCAGATCGAAAGGGGCTCACAGAAGCGTCGCTCCTTGGGGTCACGTCAGCATGAGGCTCATAAGACATGTCATCCGCTCTTTCTTTACCATTCTCTCTAGGACGCTCGGGCTAACCAGGCCAAGTGAAAGAAAGGGTATAAAATATAAATAAAAACACAAATTAAAGAGAGATGAGACGAGAGTAGTGGTACTAGTAGTAGTACAGTGCTGTATCTGTACACAGGAGGTCGATGGTGGACACGTTCAGAGGCATGATGTTGTTGTTTCCAGTGAGTGGTGTGGTCATCGGATATCGGGAACGCGTGCTCTGATTCAGATCTTTTAATGCCGAAATGAGTCACAGGCGGAGATGATCGAGGAGCATGGGTGGGATGAGGAGGGCTGGAAGGGTTGCTCTTGCTAGCACTTTTGTGACCGAACAATCCTGGACACACAGAAACACTTGAGTGTTTGTTGTCACTTGTAAGACATGTAATCTAAATTAAAAAAGAAAAAAAACTGACCTGCTCTTTTGCCATACTTGTTCTCTCTGTTTGAATTAAAAAAATCCATCCCCGGAGGTCCTGAGATCATGAGAAGACCTAGACAGAGGTCTTATAATCTCTACATGTATAATTAATAAGTTGGCAGTGACAATCAGACATAAATATTAAATTGATGCCTATCCAACTGGAGCAGTCACTGGCACTGACTTGGTCAGTTTTGGCAACCCCCATTTTTTTTTTGAAAATTCAGAGTCTATTAAACATGCGAATTACCCTTCCTCACCAACCCGCACATTTTATTTATTTATTTATTGTTTTAATAGTAACGGGCTTTTAAATGGGCTCAGTAATGGTCATTTGACAAAATGGGCCAGAAGAGGAGATAAACCCTAAATAGAACAAACCTCTGTCGACGATCTGCGTGCGTGCGTGCGTATGACCGATGGCGAGTCGGCTTAAGGAGATAGTGAAGAAGTACGGGAAAGTAGCGCTGGGGGTTCATTTCTCCGTCTCCGGCGTTTCGATCAGTGGATTCTACATAGCCATCAAGAACAACGTCGATGTGGAGTCGCTCGTGGACAAGTACCAGATCCCATGGTTCTCAAAAACCCCTAACCCTAGCCTCGATCTAAATCAGGAGGATGATCAAGTCTTGGCTACCACGGACGACAAGACGAAACAGCTGGCGAAATCTGCGGGAGGAGCCTTAGCTCTGGCCGTTCTGTGCAACAAGGCGCTTTTTCCGATCAGGGTTCCCATCACGATGGCACTGACACCTCCGATTGCTAGATTCCTCAGACAGAGAAAAATCCTCAAAACCGGCGGATGATTTTTTGCTTTTCCTCTACATACAACATGTATGTTTAATCTATTATATGTTGTTTTTGTTGGAATGTTATTGCGAGAAATTCAGGGATATTTTGTTGATTGATATGAATAAAAAGTCTTCCATGAAATTACCCTAATACATTACATATTTCTTATGACCCAAAATATATGTTTGACATGGGCTTTCTCTCTGTAGTCTATACTAAGATCTCCCCGTTAGAAATAGATATGGGACATGAGAGTTTGTTTCTAGAAATTATTTCCTTAGATTTTTTCTAGAAATGATCTCCTTTGCCAATTTAATCAGCTCTGCCTTCTAATAATGTTGAGAATATGATTTTTGCTTTCAAACAATGTGCGACTCAATTGTTGCTTTCAAAAGGACAGTACGTAAATGTTGGTCTTCTTTGATGCAAACCCTGTGAGCTAAGCCTGACCTTGCTGTTTGGGTGACAAGGGCCATTGTGAGCCTGGCTGCTACTAAACACTGGTAACCTTGGAACAAGCTGTATTGATTATTGCATGGGACGCAAAGCAAAGAGCATATGCTAGTTTTGTTTGTTAACTGTGTTCCTATGTGTGAACGAGTCGTTATTTTCTTTGTCTCTGTTAATTTTTACAACTCTGCTCTTTGATTTGGTTTTCACAACAGAGACTTAAAATTTCCAAGGAACCGATGAGTTGTTGTGTTGCTTTGGGTGTTCTGTACAAAATACATATAAAGAAGTACATATACCAATGTCACAGGGTTTGAGCTAAAGCCAATGTCTAAAGTAGGTCTATCTTAAGCATAGAGACACCAAGAACTGAGAAAAGACTATAAATTCACTCACGACTGCAGCTGGGGAGTGGATACCCAAAAACGGGACCACATCAACGTGGAGCCAGCTCTCAACAGTCGATCCCACCACTGCACCTACCACTAGTCCTCCTGCCGTTATGGCAGCTGCTTTCCCTGCACCAAACCAAACAAAACCAACTTGAAAGCTGCATGAGAGAGGTGAGTTCAATAAAAGATATAGTTACCTAGCTTGACGTTTCTTTTGGTCATGAAGTACAGGGAGGCTCCAAAGCTGGTGGCTAATATAAGTCCTGGCACATCAGCACCGGCATAAGAGTCTATGGAACTGCCGTTAACGTAAGTCAAGACCATCATTGCTCCATAAACTCCGGCTTGAATTCCCAAATTGCTAGTGGATGGCATATCTACAGAGACAGGTGGATTCTTCATCCACTGAGACACCCTCCCTGTACCCAGAGGGCTGGTGGATTTAACATCTGCGTAGCGAATGTTGTTGCTCACAACTTTGCCTGCTCGGCGTTGGTTTAGGCTCTGCATCAGGAGCATGTCATATGCAGCCTCCGCCTGAGAGATCAAATTTAATTCTTACATGTGTATATAGAGATGGTTTTGCAAAGCTAAATCCAAATTTGGGAACTTTCTAGAGTCACCTGGGAGATGGCGTTGGGGTCGTCCTTACGGGAAGCAAGAATCGACTTCTTGGCACGAAGTATTTCGTCGAAGGAAGCTCCTTCAGAGACACCGAGTACCTTCATAGCCGCCTCCACAGACATGTCGAAAGGCGGGGAATCGTCAGCTCGAGAACTGGCTCTAGGAGGCGCCGCGCATCGCCGCCGCCGCATAGGCAGGAGAATCGAAGAGGAACGCCACAGCTGCTGAGTCTTCCCAGAAGGAAAGAAGAAAGAATTGAACTTGGTGGGCAGATGGAGAGGAACATCGGATGCTGAGCTAATAAGGCGGTTTGGTCCGGCGGATATAGCTGCGGCTGCCATTTCTCTGTTCGTCTCGTCTTCACACACAACACAACTGTTAGATTTGAGGGATTTCGCGATCTTTTATTTTTTTCCACCGTCAGATTGAGTCTAAATTGTACGGCGTCGTATACTACAGCCGTTGGATTGAAACGGACTGACGGTAGATACACCTATATAATTCTTTTTTTTTACCAAAGCACCTATGTAATTCTCTTTAATTTCTTTTAAAGTGACCATCAATCTTGTGTCAAAACACAAGCCGAATCGGGTCCAATTTTGCAACACACAATTAGAAGCGTGGAAGCAAAAGAAATCCCAGATACATTTGTACCCATCTACATAATTTTTTTGATCGACCTACATAAATATTAATTTCATTATTTGTTTTGATAAGTATGTAAAATGGACAAAATCTTTTTCTTTTGTTTTTTTTTTGGCATATATATAACTTATGTGTGGTCCATGATCTGTTTCTATTTCTTTTATAGCGTCTTTCTTTCTTATATCTTATTAGGCACAAATTCTGTATCTGTCATTTATATTGAAGAAAACATAGTATGAATAATTAAGGGAAAATTGCTAATGATAAGAATGTAAAATGGACAAAGCTTTTTTTTATGGTATATATATAACTTACAAGATTAAGACACGCACATTATGCGCAGGACAAATATTGTATATACAAATATTTTATGTATTATAATTTTTAATGTTATTTCACATATTATAAAATGATAAAAATATACAGAATAATTGAAATCACTAAATATAACATATAAAACTAAATTAGCGTGAGCACATAAATCAAAACAAACATTCTTATTTATTTACAATCATTTTATATAAATATAAATTTAAACAATCAGTTTTAGATGTTTTATATGATATATAATTAAATTTAAATGATATTGACATATATATAAAGTATATTTTTAATTTTACTATCTATTAAATAATATTTCATACTCATATGATCTTATGAGCATTTTTATATTTTTATAACAAATTATTAAATCATTGATAACGTAATTTCAACGTAGAACAATTAATATTTACAGCAAATTCATAATCATTCAAAAAAATTCAATACCTTTTCAATGCAAAATTTGAAATTAAAATATTAAATCTTCAATACCATTTTCAATGCAAATTTTGAAATTAAAATATTTGTGTTTTTATATGGTATATAGTTTAATTTAAATGTTATTAAATATATTTTTTTGTCTAGATATCTATTTAATTAGACTTTCTAGTCATATGATTTTATAATCATTTGTATCTTGTTATAAAATATTTCAATTATTAACCACAAAATATTCTATATGGACTTTTAAAGGTTTTAATCATTTCTATTTGTTTCTAAAATTTAAAATTTAACATATATCAAAAATTCCAATTTTTATTATATAATTATTGTGATTGTTTAATTTATTTTCACAATAACTTTTTTTTTAAAAAAGGAGTAGAAACTACACATTTTTTTTAACAAATCTTTCTTATTTAAAATCATTATTCGTCATATATATTTTAGACACATTCGGTAATTATGTAGCTTTTATATAAAAGAAAAGTGAAATACACTAATAATAGCTTAATAATTAGTTAAGTAAAGGTATATTATATATCTATATGAACCAATATTTTTTATATATTCTAAAAATCATTATAGTGATAACACGTGTCATAGTTTAAATGTTGTAACTAGATTCTGATCTACGTTTTCTTTCAAATTTAAAATAAATGTGTATAAATTTGTCATTTCGCGTGTATATATATCTGTCATCTTTCATTACAGTTTTGAAGAGCATTTAGAGTTTCAGTTTATAGAACGTTTTATATTCTATTTCATATTGTGTTGTTTGAATATTTGCAATTTATTAATTTTCTGAAGGCATATATATATATATATATATATTCAAATAAAAACCAAAAATCAAGTTTTAAAATGTGAGTAGAATACATAAATATTATTGTATTTATAAACAAAATATATTTCTAAAAATTATTAGGAATCTTTACTATATAGTTTAGAGTGTTACCTAGGGGTGGGCATTCGGGTTCGGATCGGGTATTTAGGGTATTTCGGTAGTGGGGTTTAGAACCCGTTTGGTATTTTTACATATCGGGTCGGGTTCGGATATTTTTAGTTCGGGTTCGGTTATTGCGGGTCAGGTTCGGATATTTAGATTTTGAAAGAAAAATTTCAAATTCTTTATTACTTAAGTTTCATGTATTTAAAATTTAATTATTAAATTAACCGTTTTTAAAATTTTTAATAAGTTAGACGATTAATAATTTTGAAAATAAATTATTGAAAATATAAATTATTATTTGGTTGTTATTTTTGAATTTTGGATGCAAGTTTTGTTTACAATATGAAATAAAAAGCTTAATATGCATTTTAAATGAGTAACAAATCATTTTTTTACAATTATATGTATATTATCTGATCTTAAACTATATATAACATTAATATAAACATTTTTAATAAAATGAGACAAATAAACTAGGAATAAATAGGTATATATACATATGTTCGGTTATCTTCGTATATCCGTTCGGGTTCGGGTATTACTCGTTTGGGTTTGGATATCCAAACTCTCTTAACTCAATACCCGTTCGGGTATTTTGCTACTTCGGTTCGGATTTCAGTTCGGATATTTCAGGTCGGGTTCATGTACGAATTCGGGTATCGGATAGGTCTAATCTAGCATTAGGAATAAGTAATAAGCATATGACAAGAAGGATCTAACACTAATCACCCTAGATCATCACTTAATCACCCTAGATCATCACTTAATCACCCTAATCACCCTAACCCATAAGCTCAAAGAGAGTCTACTCACTAATCTTCATGTTTAATCTTAAGCCCATGATGGATAGAAGATTAATCATGATTAGAAGAAGAGATAGACTCAAATTACTCAAGAAACAAAGCTTATATTAATCAAGGATTCAACTTTTCAATGTATTTTTTGAGAGAAAAGAAGATAATCCTAAAGATTAGGTATAGATTGTATTTATAATAGCTTAAAACTTAAATCGGGTCGGCCCGACAAACCCGGGTTTAACCCAAGAAACAAATGGGAAACTTAATCTCAGAGTTGACCGCGGCCTGGCCCTACCCGCATCCATGGTCCGCGGCCTGATGCTCCCCATCTTGATCTCTCGGGCTCAGATCCGCGGCCTGACTTTGCCCGCGTGTGCCATCCGCGGTGCTTGAGTCGTGGGAAGGCGCGGCCTGACGTAGTCCGCGGGATTCTTCCGCGGTCGAAGGTGAGGAAATAACAGATCTCGGGTCGTAAACCGCGGCCTTGTGTTGGCCTGCGGGACTTGTCCGCGGTATGCCTTC